GAAATATGACGGTTCATGGCAAAAAGTTTAGGTAGAAAATCCACGATAAATGACAATTACTTGAAAACAAAAACGTGATGGTACAATTCCTTATTGTCAAGGCCTGCCGAGAATTTGGATTCTTTAAGGTCATCAATCATGGTGTCCCAACTGAATTCATAACCAAATTAGAATCCGGGCTATTCAATTCTTCTCTTCACCTCTCCCTGAAAAAGAAAAAGCAGGCCCTCCCGACCATTTTGGCTATGGCAACAAGAAAATTGGCACCAATGGAGATGTTGGTTGGATTGAATACATTCTCTTAAAAACCAACACTGATTTCAATAACCAAAAATTTTCTTACTGGTTCTGTTTTCCTTATGTTTTTGAAGTTGCATCGTGAATGACTACGTGTCATCCGTTAAGAAAATGGCTTGTGAGATTCTTGAAATGTTAGCTGAAGGGCTGAAGATTCAGCCAAGAAATACATTCAGTAAGCTTCTTATGGATGAAGAGAGACTCTGTTTTCAGGCTCAATCATTACCCTCCATGCCCTGATGATCAGTTTAAGGGCAGAAATTTGATTGGTTTTGGTGAACACACTGACCCCCAAATCATTTCTGTTTTGAGATCTAACAACACTTCTGGTCTTCAAATCTCATTGAAAGATGGCAATTGGATTTCAATCCCTCCTGATCAAAATTCATTCTTCATTAATGTTGGTCACTCATTACAGGTACATGTATGACCTAACCACTTTTAATATTCAAATTAGTTTCAACATTTTGTTTAACGGTCGGTTTCAACATGCATGATTAGAGTTTCCACGTTAATGCAATCTCCGAAATGTGCAAACATGGAGTTCAACCCAGTTCACAGTGACAATTTTTGAATAATTACATCAACACCAAATGCAGAAATCACCCAAACAACAACCAAGAATGAGCAAAATACCTTAATCTTTCGCACCCACCATTCCTCTGATGCAGAAATTCTTCCTGTTGCAGAGACGTATTCGACACCGGTGCAGTCGAGCAACTCCTGGAAACACTTATGTTTCTGCCGAAGAGAATCCCAATGATTCTTCAGCTGTCGCTTGCTCCAATCATGGCCGGAGTTGGAGTTAAACAAGCGGAGGAGTGTATCCCATCCATGTTTCGTGAAGCACTTGCCGTTACGGTGCCCGTCCTCAATTACCGCCTCACACGCGGCAATGAACACTCGATTTTCGATTGGATTCCATTGGGCGTTCTTTCGGGCTGATGCTTGGGACTTTGTGGGAAGATTGTTGGAAGGCGAGGCTTGCACCGGTGAGCCCATCTGCACCACCAATTCCGAATCAGTACCAATTTCCGTCAGAACCTAAATCAAACTAGAATTCCGGAAAAAGCAAAAAAAAAAAAAAAACCCCATACTCGACTTTATGAGTAGCAAACGTTGGAAAACTACAATTATCGATTGGAAGTGACAATCCATGATGATAGGTCGGTGTTGCACAGGTGGTCGACGATTGAAAATTCAAAATTCTTCTCTGTATTTACGTGGGTAGGTTGATGCGGATCGGAATCAGCCTCTTTTGGTTGAAGATGGTCGACCCTCTGTGTGAATGGTGGTTATCTGGAATCAATTCTTCAACCTAATTTTCGGCCGGCTGGTAGTGAAACTGAAAAATGTTCAAGGTAAAATTATTTTTGGGGGAGAGAGTGGATGGAGAAGAGGTAGTAGGTGTGGCAGGAATGAGGAGGGCAAATGTGTAAAATGGATGGCCAAAAGTGAATTAATTTCTGAACGGTGCTCAGACGTTTTTGTCCTTGGATGGGTTCATAACGGTCGTTAAATTGCTTTTTAGCATTGCCAGACACGTTCTAAGATCATTTTTCAAGTTTTCTTTCACACATTTTTCATCAATTTAGATTTCCTGAAGTCTATTTTATTTATACAATGGAGTCACGTGTTTCATAATTTTCTTTACAATATAATATTATTTCTTCTTTTTCAAGTTCTATAATAATTTTTTCGTATATATATTCATCTCTTATTGATCCTATTATGAGTCTTTCTATAGTTTGTTCTTTTATTTCTCTAGATAATTTTTTAATTATAATTAATGTTATTATTTTTAATCTTTTAAGGATAGGTTCTAAAAGTATATAACATCCTCGTTCTTCTTCTAACTTAATACCAATTTTATTTTAGTAATTATAATTTCCATGATTTTTATGACTCTGAAACCAAATAAGGGGGGATGCTACTTTGAACGAACAAAAATCAAAATAAATCTATAACCAAAATAAATCTATATATTAAAAATTATAAAGTTTAATCAAATAGGGGTTCAAAATCTTTAAACGTCTTAGTATTTTCTAAATATTTTATTATATGTTCTTTATGATTTATAAGAAGGATATAAAATCTAATAGTTAATTTATATCTTAATTTTTTATATTCATTACACGTTTTATGGAATTTTGGTTTCCTCATTTACGGTTAGATAATACTTATGAAATAATATGTTTACAGAAATCAAATTAAAATTTACAAATCAAACTAAAGTTTATATTCTCTTATAATTTCTTCAAAATCTATAAAAGTTTGGCAATTTATAATAACCAAATCTATATTTATATCCTCATCTAACTGTATTAGTGTCTTATGATTTGTTACCATTCTTATTTTTTTTCCCGATTTTATCTATAAGATCTTGAATATCATCCATTATTAAGGTTCTAATTGGTCCTTTTATAAAATTTTCCGATATATTATTCTTAAAACATTTTAAAGTTTATTGAGATGCATATAATTGATTTGTATATTCTCTTGTAATTATATTTTCATTGAATCCTTTTTTTATCTTATCTTTCCTCATTTCCTTTATAAACTTTTTAGTTTTATATGGTCCTCTAGCACCTCTAAATTTTTTCATTGTATGTTTATTCATTATAGCGTAAAAATTATAATTTTTAAATATTTTAAGGACTTAAAGGAAATTTTATTCATATTATGGTGACTTAGTTGTAAATTCTATGTTTGAGGTATTTTGGGTAGTTCCAAATATTTAAATACTCAATGGCCATTTTCGAAATATTACGTTTTATTTAGGCATGAATTTCCCCTAGAAAACACATAAACCAGTTCTCTTCTGGATATGGCGAAGATGATAACCAATTATAAGTTATAATCCAAAAGGCTCTTGCAGTTTTCAATTGACGCTTAACTCTCGAACTGAGCAAATTTTCGTCGGTCACTTACTCCCACAGGTAAAGACTTCTTCGTTTAGGGGGGTCAGAGAAAATGGGTTGTGGTTTTTTGGTGAGATAGATTGAGTTTGGATTTTATTACCAGATTTCTGGGAATTATGTAGTTTTATTCAAGAAAATGTTTTAGCGCAATGACGGGAAAGATGGGATTTTTATATGTTAGATTTTTATTTATATTCTTTTTAGTAGTCTATTTGCTAGTTTGTTCAATATTCTTGCGATTTACTGACAAAATAACACATGAGATTGCAGTTATTGGGTACTTATTTACGTGATTTCAATGAAACTAAGTTGAAGGTTTTACAATTACAAGGAAGGCAAGGGCAGCAATTAACACCTTGAGTTTCTTCAATTTTTCACTTACATTTTCATTCATTTTCCTTTTTTCCAGGAATTAAAAAAAAAAAAAATCGTCATTCAGAAAATCACTTTTCTTATTGGTCAACCAAACAAGTTCGAAATTGTAACTTTCATTAATCTTGTTAGTATACCTCAAGAACTTTTTCTGGCATTATCTATAGCCAATTGACAAATTTGTAAGGTGCTGCTGCTCAAAACTAGTTCATTATCCTTGATCTCTGTTCTTGGTTCCTCTCCACAGTCCACCCATAACCCCAAAACAATCTGCTCAGAACCAGCTAAATAATTAAGGTCATAATGAACGGACTTTTAACATAGACTTAATCCTCCAAGCGTGACAGGCTTTGGCACCTTATTCGAAGAAAATGGCATGTAGAGTTCAATACTCTATGCAAAACAGCCTCTGGTTCTTATCATCGTCTCGTTTCTATAGTCAAATACAATCCCAGAGAGTCCATTCCAGACACCAAAAGTATTTTTGCAAGCAATTGCTCTTGAGTTCTTCTTTCTCGAAAGGAGTTCGCTCTTGCAGTTGCAGTGCTACGACTAGCAATATTGATGCCGATATAAATAATTCAAATGCAGAGGCATTTGTCCTCACCACTCCACTTTATTATGTAAATGCCCCTCCTCACATGGGCAGCGCCTACACCACCATAGCCGCTGATGCCATTGCGCGTTTCCAGGTAATACTGCTGTGAATTTGTGCTATTGTGAGCATAATTCAAGTATAAATTGAAAATTTTAATTGCTGGCTGGTTCTTTAGTGACATGGCTGAATGCATCCGTGATGCTCGAACTCCTTAAAATGGACGAAATACCAGTGTCTTGTCCGACACGACATGGGTATGAGTATGGAATATATGTTAGATCTTCCAAGTTTCAACGGGACATTTCACCGTTTATGCTTCTTTCTTCTTTTTTTCTTTACAAAACTAAATTCCAAAATTCTATTTTATTCCTCTTAACCCATTATTCAATACTCATTTTCTTCTTCGTGAACAATTGATTTTGATGCATTTAATATGACATCTTGAGTTAGTAAAAAAAATTGAAATTTGAAAGAGGTACCTATGTATCCATGTCTTAAATTTAGACTCTTTTTAGCTATATCCTTGTATCCTATATTTCAGAAAATAAAATATCCGACACTTAGATACGCCGTACTCTAGTCCGAGCATCATAGAAATGCATCTTAGTATCTTACATGGGCTATTGTGTAACTTTTTTTAAAAAAAAATGGCAGAGGCTTCTCAGGAAGAAGGTTATATTTATAACTGGCACAGATGAGCATGGAGAAAAGATTGCTAGTGCAGCAGCTGCCAATGATTCCAGCCCAAGCAAGCACTGTGATTCTGTTTCACAAGCTTATAAGTCACTCTGGAGAGATGTATATACCTCCACGCAATTAATTGTTGTGAAAACTTCTACTATTATGATGCCATCTTGTTTGGATTACTTATCTTTAACTCGTTCATTGTGGCAGTTAGACATTGCTTATGACAAGTTCATTCGGACGACTGACTCAAAACATGAAGCCCTAGTGAAGGAATTCTATTCTAAGGTACTTGCCAATGGTGATATCTACCGCGCTGATTACGAGGGATTATACTGTATCAATTGTGAGGAATACAAGGTATAACATCTAGTGTTTAAACTAGCAACTGCCTTTTTCTTATTCTTATTCTTTTTAATAAATTTTTCTGCATATGGGTGTTTGCAATAAGAGATATTATGCAACAGCTTACTCAAAAGTCTCTTGAAAAGGTTATCATTTGATCTCATGTGATTCTGAGCCTCCACTAAATGAACTCAGTTTTGAGACTACTAATTGGATAATTTACCTGGGGATAATAATTAGCCCCTATTTGTCTCCCTTTAAACAAAACTTTTTAGTTCTTATACTCATTTTGCAACTACATATTCATACAATAAAATATTTTGCATGTTAACCCAGAACTTTTCCCTATTTTTTAACCATACATTCTCCAAAAAATCACTATTCAAAACATCATTTTTTGGAAATAATGGCCATCAAACAGTGGCTTAGTTGGTTTGTGATATCAAGTGATAGATGTGACAACTCAATTAAGGTCAGTATGATTGTTTGATTCTCAGTCCTTACTGTTCTCTGTTTTGCCTCATTTTTTTGTCCCTTTTTCTTTTTAGTTATTAAGAGGTTGTCACATTTTCAATTTCTTTATTACTGCTGTAAATCTGAATGGAGATTATATAGTTTCGTTAGATGTATAGGAGAAACCTGAGTAGGGAAAGATCTGGGAGAAGAGGTGAAAGGAACTGAGAAGACCACATAATAGATAGATATTACTTTTTGATTGATAAGCAGAATGGGCTGATATCTAAAGATAATGATTACATCTCCAGCTTTCATTATTAGTTTTGAGGCGGGCAATGCTACTTTGATCACATGAGCATGTTTGGGCGGAGATTATAAGGTGAGGCTATGCATGATTTCTAAACGGCATGTTTGGCTAAGCTTATAAGGTGCTTATAATCACCTTATAAGCTTAGCCAAACGTGCTCTAATGCTACCATGGGTAAATAGAAACCATACACGACCTATGGGTATAGCTGGAGTGTTTTATACACAAGGAACACTGTTGCGCTATGAGTGACCAATCGAATAAAGAATATGAGTGTGTACCTCATACATGGTGACGTGTTTGAAACTTTGAATGCTGCTTCCTAGACGTTCACTGTATGCATATCTAGACATTTAGAGTTGTACTTTTCCCCTTGTTTGACTGCTTAAATCCTATAACCTTGTCATTATGGAACTTGTAGGATGAAAAGGAATTATTGGAAAATAATTGCTGTCCCATGCACCTAAAGCCATGTGTTCGAAGGAAGGAAGACAATTACTTCTTTGCCCTATCAAAGTATCAAAAACGGTTGGAAGATACTTTAACAGAAAACCCAGATTTTGTCCAGCCTTCTTTTCGTTTGAATGAGGTTAGACAAAGAGACTTTCCATTTCAAGATGCCCTGTTCTGCACCATTCTATTGAAAGTTATACCGCTTTCTAGTAGTATCTTTTAAAAATTTGGTAAAATCTGTGATCACATCTTTACAAGATTTTTTTGTAGCTTCTCTTTCTTTCTGCATGAACTTCCGCAGGTTCAAGGTTGGGTCAAAAGTGGCCTGAGAGATTTCTCCATCTCACGAGCATCAGTAGATTGGGGCATTGCAGTTCCTAATGATGATAAACAAACTATTTACGTATGGTTTGATGCTTTGTTGGGGTAATTATCAATTCCTTGACTCCTCCTAACTCATTGTTTATGCCGTTATCTTAATCCGCTCTAGTAAACGAGTTGTTTGGAAATTTTATTTAATTAAAAAAAAACAACTTTTGCATTCATTATCTAGTAGCTATTCTAACACACTGTAGGCTCATGACTGATTTTATTATATTCAAATATTGTAATAAGATTCTTTTCTCTGTTCTTATTTTAGCCATCAATTTATCCCGTTATTTTTATTTTTTACTTTCTTGTCCTGTCAAGCAGTTATATATCTGCTCTATTGGATGATAAGGAGCAGCCTAATTTACAAACTGCCATTTCTTCTGGCTGGCCTGCGTCTCTGCACTTGATTGGCAAGGTATTAACACTGCTAACTTTTCAGACAGAGTGTTGTCATTGTTTATATTTCTTCTAGGGAAACAAGCTGGTCAACTAGGATTCAAATGTCAACACATTAACCTAGCCATAACTGTAAGATATAAATTCATTTTCATCATTAATAATTCCAAATAATTTTCATTAGTTGGAGCTCAAAACATGACCTTAAATTGTTGTTCGAGGTTGTGCTGAGGCCCTTGTGGAGAAAACTTTTATAATCTTGAATGAAGCCTCAGTAAATGATCTTTAAGGTCTGGACGAAGCCTAATTTGTGATGCAGTTGTTCAACAATTTTACCCCTCTTATGCCTTGCTTTTTTTCTGTTCCATTAAAGTGCAGACTGCAGAGTTAATTATTATGCTAGTTTCATCCAGGGACTTAAGATGGTTAATTGCGTCCATATTTTCCATCTTTTCCTTTCCATTGTTGGAGACATTCTCCTTTTTCTAATTGACTAGAAAAGTAGCGGAGTTCATTTCATATTTACTTCCATATAATTTCATTGGAGGCAGTAAACCTGTTTGATGAACATATGCAGGATATATTACGATTTCATGCTGTTTATTGGCCAGCAATGCTCATGTCAGCTGGACTAAGCCTCCCAAAGATGGTTTTTGGCCATGGATTCTTGACTAAGGTATCTAAGTTTTTCATCTTTTACCTTAAAACTCAAAAGATCATTTCTAAAATAATTTCTATCTATTTTCCTCCAGTATAAAATTTAGTTCATTATGCATGCATTTACTATTTTCTCATTTAATCTAGTTTGATTTAATCCAGCAATGCTTTTCATTTGTTAGGATGGCTTGAAAATGGGAAAGTCATTGGGAAATACACTTGAGCCAAATGTCTTGGTTCACAGATTTGGCTCTGATGGAGTCAGGTACTTCTTTCTCAAGGAGGTGGAATTCGGTAGCGATGGGGACTACTCAGAGGACCGTTTTATCAATATTATTAATGCGCATCTTGCAAACACGATTGGTATTCTTTCCCCTCTATTTTATATACCCAATTGCATTTCTGAATTTTTGTTTAGATTCTGGAACTCATGATGTATTTCGTAATACCTACTATAGCTTCATTTGGTAGGTCTGCAGATGAACCGAGGCAAATTGAATTGGGTATTGTTTGTATTCAGCTAATCTATTAAATGAGACCAAAACTTCGGAATAACTAATGTGTTTATTATAATATAATGAATAAACACGGGAAATTCCCGTATTCATGTTTGGCTCATTCAGTTTCAATGAATGCATGCTAAATTGAGCTTTATTTGCAGGCCTAGCATTTGGCAGTATGGAATGATAATGTCGGGATGAAAACTTAAATTGATCTATACAGTACATTATTTCCCCATGCTGGAAGCCTCATTTAAATGCCAGCAAACACTGTCAGATTTTTCTTTATCTGGAGTCTAACTTTAGCTTTATCACAGGAAATCTACTTAACCGGACACTTGGACTTTTGAAAAAGAATTGTCAATCAACTTTGGCTATTGATTCAGCTATTGCAGCAGAAGGAAATGCATTGAAGGATACTGTGGAGGAACTGGTAAAGTTTGCATATAAAAGCTTCTTTCTTCTTTGATTGAAATGGGGTACGTGAACTAGTTTGTAATATATGAACCCTATCATTTTCTTTCCTTAAAATACAATACCAGGTTTCTGCATAATTTTGACTCATTTTATGGTAGGTCGAGAAAGCCAGACAACATTACGAAAACCTAGAGCTGTCATCAGCATGTGAGGCAGTTTTAGAGGTCGGTAATGCCGGGAATGTGTATATCGATGGACAAGCGCCATGGTCTCTTTTTAAGCAAGGGGGTTCTGCCTTTGAAACTGCAGCAAAGGTTTCTTCTTTATACTCTACTTGGCATCTTTCATGGCAGCTACACACATGCATGAGCAAATATGCATTGCATGATGGTGGATTGTTGCTACCTACACAAGCATATATATGTGTGTGTTTTTGTGTGTGTGTATATTCCGTTCTCATTAAAATTCGGAATGTGGAATTTCTTTATCATTTGTTTGTTCACGGATAATAACCTTTTTATTCTTTTGCATAGGATCTGGTGATTGTATTGGAAGCATTAAGGATCATAGCAATTGCTTTGTCCCCAATCACTCCAAGTTTATGTTCGAGAATATACACTCAGCTTGGTTATTCCGAAGGCCAGTTCAATGCTGTTACCTGGGTCGGTCTCTCTCTCTCTCTCTCTCTCTCAATGCACGCATGCGCACACACATGAGTGTACGTGTAGGCCACATGATTTATTGTTATCGTTTGTTACAGAATGATACAAAATGGGGTGGGCTGAAGCGTGGTCAGGTCATGGCTCAACCAAATCCTGTTTTTGGTAGGATTGAACTTGAGACTGAAGCAAAAAATGCAGGTGATTCGACCAAGAAAGCAAGTAAGAAAATGAACAAGACGCCGAAGACCCAAAAGGCAGTTGAAGCCTAGAAATTTTTTGGTTCACATCTGAGGATAGCTATAACCCTTCGAACACTTACTTGACACCGTTTCATACATATATAGTTCTTTTAAGTTCATTGAACGATTGTTAACATTGTTCATTTTCTTTCAAATTTTTCATTTTAGATGTGTATTAAAACTTTATGTACTTGATCTAGAAATAATGATCAGTAACGATTATTTTCACTATATTTTCTGCAGATCTTGAATGTTGCGAGCATGTTTATTTTTCTAGGTGGAACACAACGCTCGTTTTTAGTTGTCATCTGAGTTTAGAACTAAAAGAAACATTGTAAAGCAGAATCTTGAATGCCAAGGAACTCTTGGCGATTTTAATTGTTATGTTTCACTTTGAGCAAGATTGTGAACTGGCAACTTTTGACTGGATTGGACTCTAGGACAGACCTAGAATAGATAGACCGCGCCGGCCGAAGAACGAGGTCCGGCACAGCCTGCAAACACAACCTAATGTCAAATTTATTCCTTCGTCATATAAAAATTCCGAATATTTTTCTGAACATTTGATCTCCCAAGTTGTACAAAGAACAGAAAAAACTCTGATTTTCATGTACCACTATTACAATTCCATACCAAATATTGCCTTTGGCATAAGAAAAATGAAGAAAAAGTTTTTAAGTACAAATGCTCTCCCAATCTCCATCCGTCTTTGCAGTCTCATCCCAATCTCCTTGCTAACTGGAATGTTTTCTTCAAGAAGCTATTAGCGACTTTATCATTCCTATGACACAGAACCCTCAATATGGTATTAGGATCGGATCGATTCCATCGCCCAGTCGTTGGTGGCATCGGTATCTTCTGCCCTATACCACTAACACCAATCCCACTGGATTCACAAGCCACAATGCTGAAATCCTCGACTAATTGCTCGGTGGACTCGGTCATCAAAGACACCACCCCTTCGACTATCTCGGATTCGTTTTCAACAACATCCTCTGCAATCAACCCTTCTCCACACGTACAGAATAAGCGTTTTAATTGGTCGAGATCTTCCTCAATCATCGGATGATCTGACCTGGAATATGTTCTCGAGCAACCCCCGGCTAGTAAAACCATTAGATAGGCCTCGAAAGAAGCCTTCATTACTTGTTTTAGAGCAATTGGTTGAGCACCATCAGTGACAATCACACATAATAGTGTAAGATTCTGCTTAAGTGTTTTCAATGCTGGTATAATGCGCGCATTCGTTACATCCCCGACATATAAACTTCCATAGAATACAGACTTTGAGTCGAGGAATATTAACCGATAGGCAGCAACTTCTGATACATGTTGACACGCTATTTGTATGGCCGACCGGCTATGTTCAAAATAGGAACTCCCAAGTTTTCTGTTACTGAATCGACTACGCATATTGATCTTCTGAGAGGAAGACAACATTTTGTCGAGAAAGTGAAGCTGCGAGAGAAAGTAATGCAGCGTGTTAAGCCTAATGTAAAGGCGTTGTGTTCCCCGGCTTGTTGAAGGACGTGCACGGTTATTGCTTTCGTCTAATACATTTTGCATTGGATGATCTACTCCAACACTGCAAGCAGCTCTTTTCCACAGCTTTAGAAACTTTGAGTCCCCACTGCACCGCGTTAGAGGAGGAAGCATTGGAAGATAGCTTTGTTTCGATCCTGAAAAAGAAGTAACTATCACGATAGGAGAATATAAAATCCAAAAAATTGACGTATAACTACGAGTTATCCTTACCACATGATACAACAAAGGTAATGTAATCTCGAAAGAGATGTTCTAAGCCATCAGCAAGTTCATACACTAAATTCTCCGATATGTTCATTGGGATTTCAAAGAAGTTCTCCACAGCTTCCTTGGCAAATTTGATTAGGTCGACTGCTGAATTTGCATATGGATCAGTTTTGGACTTCGGATTCCAGGTCTACGACGAAAGTTTTCAAAATTACTCCTCGGTTTAAACGTAAATTTACGTATAATAAGTTACTAATAAGCTTACTTCTGTCTCTTTTGCTCTCTGGAGAAGGTCTGATCCTTTCTTCAGCTTTTCTTGAATCCATTGTTTCAATAGGTTCAATATAATCGAATCAACTTCGTATGGTACCATCTCTCTGACAATAGCTTTCCCTCCATCTTCACAGTCGACGGAGTCCTCAACCACCATCTGGACCAACACATTTTCGAGTTTCCCAGCACTCTGCAATACCGAGATTGTTCTCTTCGTGAGTGAGGATGTGCTCGTTAAGTATTGTTTCAACAGAGTTGCACAGCAAGTATGCAGGGTTACGGCTGCTACTCCAGATGGAATCGGGTGCCATTTCTTGAAAACCGGACTAAAGATCTCCTTTTCCTTCGCAGCCAATTCTTCGGTTTCTTCAGTCAATTTAATAAGCATCTGACTCACGTCTTGGACTTCAAGATTCGCACCGTTCACATCGTGTTCTTCCAGAATCTTTTAGTAATAAGAAGACATTAGAATAAGCAACTACAGAAGAACTTTTCTGCAAAATGGAATAATGCATGCGAAAAAATAAGATATGCACGAACCTTTGCGAATGCATTTCGCAATGACGACCGAATATAGTGATCCACCCGATTACCAGCTGGATCATCAGTCACTTCTGCATTTCCTTGGGCTGCTGAATAGTAACTGGGGACATCTTCTTCTAGTATCTTTGTAGTCGAGAATACTAAAGGAAGAATATTTTCCATTAATCCAACTGTTCCCCTATCGAAATTTCCATGGTAATCGAGCATTCTCTTCTCCGACCATCTTTTAATCGCAATCAAAACAGATCCCAACATCTTGACATATATAGGCTCTCTATCCACTTTCTTAGCATCGCTCGCCACTTCTGTCAACATAGCAAGCGATGCACCAAGAAGATCCGGCTCCACTTCTCCCGTCCTCACATATTGCTCAAACAACACCCAAGTGAAACACAAGTTGTGTATAGATCTACTAATTCCCAATGTCGACCATGTCTTTTTCATAAGCTCGAGAAGCTCATCAATACCATCAAGGACCAAAGTCTCGTCTTTTAAGTCAAAAACCGAATAAAGGAGAGAATTGTAGATATGAACATTAAGAGAGTATCCATCAGCCCAATGGCAAACATCAGTAGGGGAACCATCGGGGCTTCGCCAAGCTAAGGACATGACGCAATTGCATAGCGTTTTCATGCTCTCTGAATTTTTTCCAGTGTCTATTGCCTTTGCCTCGGAGGCCTGAATGATGTCTCTGAACTTCATGACAAATGAATTCGACTTCTCGACTGGAATACATGGATGAAGCAAAAGTCCTGCCTCAAGGATTTTAAGCTGACGCTTTTGCCAAAAATGGTACTCGTTAGAATTGTTGAATTCTGACGGTTTTAAGTGACGTAGTAGCTCTAGAGGAAGGATTATCGTCTCTGCTCGCCTTCCCATCTGATAAATAAACCCATGTCTAGAATTAGTTAAACATTTAGCCTAGGGAACAATTGATCAAACTTCATAATCACTATAACCTCACTATAAGTTCATGATTCCGCAACAAATGATACAGTTTGGCACGCAATAATGCATGCAACAATAAACAATTTTTTAAAACTCTTTTTCTTCCATGATCATGATCATGATCATGTTCAGTATTCAGTCCAGTCTCACGAGTCAAACACGCCAATTGTTTCTTTTGTACCTTACAATCCCTAATCAACCAATTTACGGGTACATTTATTCGTGGTAATTGTACCTTCACCCAAATGTCATTAGATGACTATATATCAATTTTGTTCACTCGGATTATACTTTAATTTGGTCTGAGTTAAGGTATCTTCGTCCAATTCCGTCACTTAGAGGGACGGAAATCTCTAACGTGGATATCAGTTAATACGGAATTGGACGGAGTTACCTTAATTGTCCTAACGTGATCAGAACAAATTGAAGTATAATTACATAATTGCATCTGAGTAAAAATGCAAACAAGCGTAACAAAAATGCAATATATTAATGTATGAAACGTTAAAAAAAAGGGGGTTTATAAGAATTTGCGAAATGTTTGAAAATATGCATGAAAATTACGTACTTGGCCAACAAGGGTCCTCATGAGAGTTTTACGTAGCCTGTTATCACTCTGCTCCGTCACCTTCATTTGCTGCCTCATGATCTCCGCCGCCGTCATCGGCCGCTTCATCCTCGCCTGCAGTGGCACCGTTAACGGCATTCTGGGGCTGGACCCATTTCCACCCGTACTCGGAGACGACGGGTTCGACCCACACGAGCTAGCACGACGAGAAGGAGACCTTCTTAACATCTTCAATCCTAACGCCGTCTTCACTCGGCTAGTCACCGCCATTCCCACCCCCGGCGGCTTCTTCGAGTTTGGAGACCCGGGTCCTGACCCGGTACCGCTTTCGTCGGAAGGGTTATAATACGAGATATTGCTTCTACCACCAAACCCCGGCGATGACCGACACGCCGTGAAGAATATTTCATATGCGGCCTCTCGGAAGTCGTCCCGGTCGAGGCCATCGATTTTGCCGAACGGCGATGAAATGTCGGTAGCTTGCTCCAGCTGGGTCATGGCACAGTCGGGTCGTGAAAACTTGTTGTTATAGTTTGTTAGGGAGTCAAACTCCGGTGAAATCGACGAGAAATGTCGGAAGTCCGGCTGGTTGAAACGGGATAGAGAAGGTGGTGAACATTAGCGCTTTGATGAGGGAGGGAGAGAGAGAGAGAGAATGGAGAGAAATTAGAGAGAGAGAAACAGAGGAATTGGTGGTTTTTGATTATGTATAGGTTGTGCGGAGAAAACGAGAATGCAAAGGTGGTAGATAGAGGCGTTCCGGCTAATACTGATTGGAATTTATAATAATAATAATATTTTCTGATTGGAATTTATAATAATAATATTTTAGGACACCTGCACCATGTTTGATACCTATTATTCTAAAATACTTTTTTTATCTTTTATTTTCAACCACACATTTTTCAATAAAATAATATGACATGTAAATCTAAAATTTTTTCTTATTTTTTAACCATATATTTTTCATCAAGTAAATCTAATAATATTCGGCTAGTTTACTGACGCGCGCCTTTGATGACAGACAATAAAGTTATTTTCTACTTTGTTCAAATGAATATTTTCTCAACCTGTTTGTATTGCAACTTATATATTTTCTCAGCCAGTTAGTATATGTTGTGTATGGAATTTGCTCGATTATCGTTTGTGTAATTTATGGACCATTGCTTGTAGCCACATGTGATTTACTGCTAGATTGTGACATTGTTGCTGTAATATTTGTACTGCGTGTCGACTAAATTGATGTTTCACGGCAAAATTTAAGGTTGTCATCTATGAAGGTACAATTTTAGTGTTCGTTAGTTCTAGTTGTAGGATATGGAGGTGGAAGAGAGAACCTAAGTGCAAACCAGTTAATAAAAATGATAAGGTATAAGGATCTAGGATGTAAACCAGAAATTTGATGGATCTCGTCCATTCGTCCGTCGCCAACAAATGTTATATTTAATGTTCAAGGTAAATACATATACGGTTTACTGTAATTGATGTATGATCCTTTCATATAAGTATGTACTAATTTTCATACTGTGCACTAGGTTATGTCATGGCTTCACGATCAACATTTACCCAATCAAGGTGACACAGGCTTGTGATTCTCGCTGTACAAATGCTTCTCTTGGAAGAGAAATGGAGGAGAAAGAGAGGCCTCATTTACTGTCTCCTGTTAGATAGTGATGTTACATGTTGAGAAGAAGACGAAGAGGTAGATGGAATAAAAGGGAGGAAGGTGTTGGCATTTGAGAGAAAAATTGCTGACATTTTGTTATCCTTTTTGCCGTTATTTTTCGGTGACAAAGAATTGGACTATGCTGCAGTTAGTTAACTCTCTTGGTGAATTTATTTATTTATGTTTCTAATATCTTTCTTATGTTTGAAATAGCAATAATATGTATTCTGTTGCTCTTTAATGTTGCCTTATTGGCTACTTTTGGATAGTTCATCGATTAATGATTGAATGGGGCATGGTTGTTATTACATTCTTGCTTCTGTAGACTACTAATGATACTTGATGTCTTAGAAATCACCTACAAAAGAACATAGAAAAACAAACGACAGAAAAGAAACATTTCTTCCGTGATTTGGTTATTTTTGCAGCATGAGAGGTATGGAGTGGGCTGTCTATGAACAAATATTGCCATCATGCCCCCAAACCCCCTTTTGTCTATTTCGTTTCAACACCTTGTGTCCTCATTTTTTTTCTTAAACTTCCATCTGCATTTTGTCCGTATTGTGAAAAACTCGATCAGCTTGGAAGTTAAAATGTTATTCATGACAAAAAAAAAATATATTACAATGAAGAAAAATGCATTTTTAAAACATCTACTCAGTACCGCTTGTCCAGTGTCGAAAATAACAAACATATGTCCAATGATCGACCAATGTTGACAAAATAAACTATACATCTTAAAGACTAGAATGAACAAACCATTAATACATTACGATAAACCACATAACAAATACAAAATGACATCATAGTAGTCTTTCTACTATAAACGTAACTCAAATCACCCGTTCAAGCCTACCCCTTTCTTTTACCATCACATTTTGCAATTCCTTTTTCCTTGCGGAATTTCGGTGCAATGATATCTTGATGTCTCGTTTGTCGGTAATTCGAGCTAGACTATCAAACATGCTTGGAAAGTCTTTATCTTCTCCGTTGTTCGTATGATTCACCGCTTGATTAACGGTACTCGATTCCTTCTTGAATCTCATTTTTTTTTCACCCAATTGAAATATCCACAGTCATTACGGCAAGTTTAGAACAATCACCCTTTGTTACTAGTATCCCTTTTGATCTCGAACCATTTTTGAAATCCATGTTTACACCAAGGGAATACACGTTTTGTTGGGCATTGTCTGAAGCAGTAAGTCTTGCTTCTGCAACCGTAACAAACTCCAACATTCATTTCTCTCATTTTAAGAGATAACTGTTGAAAAACAAATAAACCCACATCAATATTTGAAATACAAAATCCCGCATCAACCATTACTAGAGTATCAGAGTAAATAGGTGTTTACTGCATACGACTAATGATCCAGGAGGGTCCGAGTCAGATGTTGAGTTGTCAGATAACACGTTAATGACTCTAAGGTATCACGAGTTGGCAGATCGTGGCCACCCAACTATGCTCTGTGTGCCGTTTTCATCTTCAAATTCCGCTATTTTCCCTTCCGAATTGCTATTTTTAGTTAATTTTTACTATTTTTGGTAATATTTCGATTGCATGTTAGGAGATGATTTTTAACTTGATTTGGGCTATTTTTTTGCAGAATACTTATTTTATTCCATATTTTCGTTTAGCGTGATTTTTGAAATTTTGCCATTTTTGGTAAAATTCGAATTTTGGCTATAAAGTCCGGCTTGTGGACTTATTTTGATCATTGCGTGATATAATAAAATTCTCTAAACTCCAGAGACATTTTCTCTGTGTTTTTTCGGCGCTAATCTTGTGTTCTTCCCTGTGAATTTGCTGGTAGAACTGGCCTGCAGAATAATCACTATTCTGCCCCGCGTCGTTGGTATCAGAGCTTCAATCTTCTTCCTGGGTAAGATTTCATCAGTTCCAATGGTTGGAGGTCGTAGTCGTGGTCGACGTGGACAGGTTCCGATTGAGGAAGTCCAACACCGTGATCGTAATATTTAGGATGCCACGATTGCATATTTGCAAAGGCAAGTTGCAGAGTTAACCTAGCGCCTCGTGGCGCGCGATTTGGAGCACCACGAGGTCTCCGAGCCCGAGTCTGATTCCGCTGTTTTTTGAAAATCCCTACCACCAACGTGATTTATTTCGGAAGTACCGTGGTCGGGAGGAGCTTTATAGGGATCTCGATTTTCGCGTGGATCTGTCCGAATTTTCTGGTACGTTATAGGCTAAGGGAGTTATCGACTGGATAAATGAAGTGGAACGTATCTTTGATTACAAGGAAGTGCCGGATTGTGTGAAGGTAAAATTGGTTGCTATCAAACTCAAGGGCAGGGGGTCTGCCTGGTGGGAATAGTTGAGGTGTTCACGAGATAGGCAGGGCAAATCCAAGATCGTTGATTAGGAGAAGATGAAGTAAAAGATGAAGGGTCACTTTCTTCCCTTCGGTTATACTCAAACCTTATTTCAACGACTTCATACATTGAGGCAGGGTTTGAGATCAGTTAATGATTACACAGAGGAGTTTTACTAGTTGGTCGCCCGGAATGCCTTATCTGAGATGGAGGAACATATGGTAGTACGATACTTGGGAGGGTTACGCCAACCCCTGTAGGATGTCCTCAGCATTCACTCACTGTGGACAGTGTCGGAAGCATATCAGCTGCACTTGCTGTTAAAAACAGCAGAACAGGAGGCCAGTTCTCAAGAACGATCAGAACAGTCGACCAGTTTACCCTCAGGATTCCCGTCCCGTCCAACAGATACCGCATGGTAATTCTAATTCTTCTATTAAGTGTTTTCGTTGTGGTGAACAAGGGCATATGGCTATTGATTGCAGGAAGCCTGCTAGTCAAAAGGGGAAAAATTTATTGATTGAGGAGGACCTGGTAGATGAGACGGAGGAGATTGGAGAGGCTTGTATGACGATGATGACATTAATGATGTGCTGTATGGAGATAGCCATGAGACTTTGGTGGTTCGTAAGTAGGGGTGGGCAAAAAATAGCCCAACCCACTCAACCCGCCCGACCCAACCCAACCCAACCCAACCCAAACCGACCGGGTTAGGTCGGTTTTTTTCATTTTTTTGGTTGGATTCGGGTTTTGGGCATCGAAGGTGGGGCGGGTTGCGGGTTAAACCAAAAAACCCGACCCA